TAGCAGATGGATTATAGACATGAAATTATCAAACCCTGTAAATAACATCTGTCTCCACGTCAAATTTCTTATGCACGTGCCAGCCATGGAATTTTATCAACATTTCTGCTAATTAATTTGGATTATCTATGGCAGAAAATAATTATAAGAATAATTGCTATATAAACACGAAACGCTTAGTGCACAAAACAGGAAGGCTAAGAAAAAGAAAATAAACATGAAAAAAAAAACGATTTTCAGAATTGAAAAAAAAAATCATCTTATCTGCATTAAAATAATAATTTAAAAATATAAACAATTAAAAATAACTGCAGGCGCATGATAATCAATTAAAAAAACAAGTATCTTTCTAGCCACATACCAAACGAGCCATTAATCATTAAACCATTGCGACTCAGAATCAGTGCCCAAAAAATTGAAATTACTACAATATACATATTCACTTCAAGGTTGAGATAGAAACTCAAACAGCAAGAAGAAGAACGTACCAATGCCTATGAGCAAAGCAAAGAACCATTTCACCACTAACAAATAGCCCACAAACAGCTTCCCCCTAAGCGCCTATCCATGTCAAAGTACGGAAAAATAATCATTTAATTAGCCAGGAGGGGAAAAAAAAAAAAAAAAAGAAGTCCCAACAAAACCAAGCATAATTGAACTAGAATGAACGAGAAACCGAAATAGCAATAGCAAGAAAGATGGTAGATAATCAGGGGAACCTGTTCTTCCCGATAAGCATAATTCTCTATAACTTCATAGTCAAGGCTCTCAACGCCGCTTCCATCACTCTTCTTCAACAAGCCAACAGTGTCGTCCGCGTCCAGGGATTCGTCCGAGTTCGGAATTCGCGACCAAACGAGCTTCGCCGTTTCAATACCGTTCTGGAAATGATTCGCCAGCATCGTCATCAATTAGAATCAAACCACCGACCAAAGATCACGACCCAGAAACCCAAAACCCGCACGGCATAATCCTAATTTATCAAAATCAGAGAAACAGTTGACATAAAAGGCGAGAAGTCGCTGCTCTTTCTTCCAAATTCCGCAGCAAGGAACACAGAGAGAGAGAGAGAGAGAGACTAAACTTGCTCTGTGTCGTGAAGTGACGACAGTTGATGTGCTATTTCGTCGTTTTCCTGGACGACCGTAGAACTTCCACGTTGAGAAGGTCAGCAAGCTCCGCCGCGTAAACGGTGTACGATGGGACGTTCGTTGGAGCTATAATTCCATGCGGACGCGGGAGAAGGAGTTGTGATTGGGATTTTCCAGTTTTGTTGCGTGCCATTAAAGTCAAACACAGATGGTATTCACGATGAACGGCTAATTAATTCTGTTTATCTTGCGCGAGTCTTCCATGTTATTTGACCCATAAAGCTTGTACGGTCCCCGTCAGCTTACATCTTGGGTCAATGTCTGCAATATCCAATACTGGCTCATATCTTTAATTAATTAAATGTAATGATTTGTACAAATTTTAAATATTTTACTATAATTTAATCTATGATTAAATCTGAATCTTTATAATATAACTCACCCGCACGCCCATATGATAATGCTTATACATGTGTCGTTCACAAATGATTCTTTGGTCCCGAGCCGCCCCACATTTCCAATAAGCAATAACTCTTCATAAAAAATATAATAATTTTACTAATAAAAAATGCTAAAATAAATCCCAGCCCCCCGTTCTGAGAGTAACTTTCAGATTGGCCCGACCCATTGTATCTGCATCCTGCTTTGGTTCCAAACGTTGAAAAGATTTTTAAAAAATTAAATAAATTATTTTAAAATATTTATATTTATTTTTAAAAAAATTAATTTGTCTGATTTATAAATTGATATGTAATTTAATGATATACATAAATATTCTAAAGAGATGATATAATTAAATTATTTATTTAGCATCCTTAATCTCTCCAAATTAATCAACTAAATCTTGTATTAAGCATTAAAGGTAGTATACTAATACTCTTCTAGTCCTTAAAATATAACATAATTCTTAAATTGATTTTAGTCCAAAATATAAGACATATTTCTCATATTTATCAATTTTTTTTAAATTATCCTTATGGATCTCCCTCACCCATAATCAAATAGGAGAGGAAAGAATGATATTAAAGAAATTGATTATAGCGTTTTAGAAAAAATATATCATATTTTTTATAATTAATTAACTTACTTAACTTTTTTAATCTAGTCAAATTAGTTATATAAGTCTTATATTAAGGTCCAGAAGAGTATAATATATATTAGACTTCAAGTGCGGGTTTATTTTAATTACTAGGATTTTCCAAAATAAAATATATATTAAATTATGATTTAATCACTATCCATAGTATGGTATTTATTATGAAATTATTAATTTTTCCTGATGATAATTAAAAGAGAAAACGGAGCAAATAGATTAAATAAAATATTATCTTTACTCCTAATTATAAAAACCCGTTTGTAGACTAAAAATGAAGCGTTATAATTAGGAGATGAGGTAGGATTGTATATAGGAAAAACACTTGGCAGATTAGAGTGAGATACAAAGAATGAGTGCTTGGACCACTGTCAGAAGTGGCGCCGTGGCCACTATGGAAAAGGCAAAATTGAATCAGAACGCACTAAATGGGAAAAATATATATCATTGTTCTTTGTCAGTGGAATTATCAAGAATTAATAATCTTGATAAATTTGTAATAAAAAATATTTACGTAAATTGGGTTCTAAGACTAAAAAAGAGCCCAACAAAATAACGAATAATTACAGAAAAATACACAAAATACACAAAAGTAAAATTATTAATAATAAATAATATTACATATGGTCACATTGAATTTAAAAGTGTATGGTGCTTTGGCCTCATAATTTTATATCTCTCAACAAGCAAAATTTAGCGATACTGAATTTTTGAAGTAAATTTATTAAAATAAATAAATTTACATTGGATACACGCGTAGATGAACGTATTTTCTTTTCAAAAATTAATTATTTAAATTTCAAAATGTTTTCTAGGAATTTGACATTTCAAATGTATTTTTTCAGTTCTTTATTAAGAAACATTTGTTTTCCAATTTATTACAAAAACTAGTGTAGAGGAAAATCTCGAACTCCGCTAAAAACATGACGAGGTACAAAAGAAAAAACACATCCAATTCCTCGCAAGTAATTAATAAATGTTTTTTCGGTGAAAAATATATTTTCACCACTTAATTTAAATGCTCATGTATTTCTTAAATAATAAAAATATTATATCGCGGTATTTAGGTCCCTTAATTGAAACTCCTTTAATTGGAGTCCCAATTACCAAAAAATTAATCAACATTTGTGATTTAATGATAGTGAGAGATGAGTTTTAATCCATCCTCCTTAAAAATCAAACAAAAATTTTTATTTCAACATCATTAAATTATAATTTAATACTTAATATTTCTCAACTAATAAGAGCTTCCAAATTCTCACATTGTGTGGAAATAATATATTTAACGTTTGTGGGCACTCTTGACTATAATAATAATGAGATGCAATCATGGAATCCTGCCGAACTTCTAATTCCTTTATTAAAAACATTTCCATCCCTTTTTCTTAGAGTGGAAGATATGAAAATCAATATTAATATAAATTAATCAATATATTAATATCAATATAAATTTCAAATTGTATGTCAAATCACATTATTTACAATTAGCCAAAAACCTTAAGCATCATTATTATCTCGAAATAAGAGAAATAGAACAAAAATTAGTATCAATATAAATACAAATTATAAGATCTATAAAGAATGTATTGCTCGCAGCCATTCAAAATTAATATACGTTGAGGTCATTCATCTTTTTTTTTTTGGCGATCATGCGCAATCCCACCGAATTATAAGGGTTAATCACATTAAATCCCACAAAAAGTAATTATATAATGAAGAAGTCCCAATAAAATTTGAAATTAGTTTATTATGGATCAAAAGACTAATTGGAAATTAAATTTTTTTTGTCCAATAGTGAAATGCAATTCATCTATTTAAAAAAAAAAAAACCACCGCTAAGAGTTATAATATGAGCTAACCCATAGGTTGTAAATCAACCGTGACGAGTTTGAATTATACGGTATGAGTTGCAAAAGTCTCCTATAATATGGTGGGTTGGCCGCTGTGGTGTGTTGATAGGTTAGCCTGTCAGCCCACAAATTATTACCTTCTAAAATATTTTTTTTTATTATATAATATAAAGAGAATATAATAAAAAAAATTTCTTTCCTTCAAATACTTAATTGAAAACACCAAATAAATGATATAGTTTTTTAAATTTTTTAGATAAGATATAAAATATAATTATATAATTATAATAATTAATAAAATTTAAAAATATAAAATAATAATAATAAATATAAGTTAGCCTACCAGTTGACCGGCTAACTTATGACAGGTTATAAGTTAGGCACTGTGGCTAAAAAAAATTTATTTATTAACAAGATTAGCACAAATCCAACTCATATTACCAACTCTAATTACTATCATCAGTAAGTAACATTGATGGCTATATCATCCCCAGAGCTTCGAAATTTTAGTTGTAGAATGTAAGATTTGAAAATGAGCAGATCATTTGCAATATAAAATGGACTTTCATCGGAAGTAGATGATGGCCACTCGAATGATTGCCACTCGCATATATGATGTGTCTAATGCAAATGCTGGGTGCAGTGATCCAGAGGCACGACGGTTCGAATATTATTGCAGGGCGTATTCATACAGAGTCAACTAAAATGTCTACTTTTCATAATACTTAATGTAAGAACAATTGCTAATTTGATTAGATTAAAAAAATCAATTAAATTATTTATTTATAATAAATAGATGTCCTTATTTTTAAAATATCCTTACTAATCAATTATGTTGACTAGAAGTATCATTATTACAAGAATTACTATAAAAAAAATGAAAGATATAGTAGATTAAGATTTTACATTTAGGAACAAAATAAAAATCAAAGGAGCTATCATATTAAGACCAGTAAGAACTGGAAGTAGTATCAAAATTATTTTTATTCGCATATTTCAGTACATTCCCCTCAGGGATCAGTGTTAAAATTTAAGTTAAAAAAGGCCCCCCAACAAAAAAAAAAAAAAGGGATAATAGTACCAATGTGTTAGAAGCTAAACCAACAAAGCCAGAGCGCATGTTCCCGAATGGGTTTTCTTCTCAATTCTGATTTCTGAGCCATTTCCTGACTTTGAGTATTTGTGCAATCTATACTTTGTCCTCTGAAGATTAATTAGTACGATCATGCTATAATGCAATTAGAACAGCTCCATTAATTGCCGTGTAACATCTGCATCAAATTGAAAATCATAACAAATGGTTAATAAGAAGCAATTTAAATTTAAAATTTGAAATAAAAAGGCTAGGAACAGTGAATGTCAGCTCTCTCTGTTTCAGACTTTCAGTGTGTGTTTGTGTGCAGAGTCACCCACAGATGCTGGGAAACACCTGAATAGGGTAGAAAACTTTTACCATAAAAGAGTGCAGACCCACTGCATTCTGGGGGAGATATGTAGTGTCCGCACATCTATCTTGCATGGTCTAGATTTAATTTAGATGGTTTAAATCTTTTCGTTGCTTTTCAATTTTTTGTTGAAATCACCATTTTTTAAATGCTGATTGAAAAATTGTATTTGTTTCACATTATGCTCCCTTCAAAATATGGGGGAAAATACATCATCCAAATTAAATCTAGGCAATCTAGAAAAAGTTTGCACACTCATGAGCATGGCATCAAAGTTTTTTGCTTAAGCTAGCTGTTGAGATAGAAAAACTAATCTAATCAAGAGGCTAAGCGCATGTTTGGTTTCCCAATACAAACCACCAAAACCATGGTTTCTAAGATAAAACCAAACACTCAGACCACTCAGCATAGTGGTAATGATTCTGTAGTATCCTAAATCCATCATGTACAGACACATTAGTAATTTCTTTTTCTTCTTCGTAATAATAAGTTAATTAGCTGAGAGTTAAATTAAAGGTGTCAAGTGTGTGGAGCACCTTGAAGAACGGATGGAGTTGTCTGAAACTCGTGCCAGATATTATGACAAGCAGCAAGATCCATGCCCAGAAACTCGGCTGCAAGAAACGCAGCACCAGCAGCAATATGATGGGGTTTAAACTGAAGCCATAGAGAGCTTCGAAGCCTGCAAAACATAACATTCTTCAGCTTCAAAAGACCTAGATATATATAAGGCATACATCACTTCTACTTCCATTCACCACAATTATTCAGCACAAGTAGAGATATAGAAATTATCAGACTGACCATTTCGAGAACAGATTCTTCTATAATTGAGCACATATTCCCATGAATGACATCATGTCAGCTTCTAAAATGAACATTCATACCAAGTCAAAAACACAAGTTTATTAATTTTACCTTACCAACTAGAAAAGCAGCAACTCAGGTAGAATATCATTGTCTGCAGGATCGCCGATACAGTACATATTATAGCAATATTTAATAGTCATCTAGAGAGTTTATCAGACTTGCAGGCCCAGACGTGCTGTGTGGGAACTCCAGAGATATTATGCAATTAAAACATGGAAACATAAAAGGCTGGGCTGCACAAGAGACATGACCCTCGTAGTTTTCCTCCCCATCATTAAATTTGTTCTATGTACGAATGCCCACTTTTGAATAATTTTATTATTGATTCAGATTGTAGAAAAATCATCTACATCCAAATTTTACAAGTAGTTTGTCACATTTCTCTTTTTTTGGTTTTGGATTATCAGATCTAATCAGACCAACATGGTCTTCAGACCATGATCTTCTTTTCACCCACGTTTATATAGACACAATTGCCTCCACCCCCAAAAATACAAGATCCTCTACAGTAATAGAAGCGACCATATAATATATCTAGACAAAGATGAGGCGAAAGGAGAATGGGTGAAAAGAGAGGGAGGGTCCCATAATGAGTCTCACTTCTTTGATCACTTTCTTTCTGACAACATAACTGCAAAGAATCTACTAAAAAATTGAGGAGGTACAGATAAGCCATTGGCTAAAGGCCTCCGGCATAAGGATTGAGGGTTGGCTAAAAAAGGTGGGTTGGGTACTGTGACTATCTTGGGTAGCCCAAAACTAAGTTATGGGATGGCACATAACCAGAGGTTAAGCAAACCATTAGACATCAGCAGTTCTACATCAGATGCAAAACAAAACTTTCCAAGAACAGCATATCAATGATCAACCCTCCAGCTAAGAATATCATACAGGCCAGCATGTTAATCTTGTGAAGACCCTGCAATTGTATGCATGCCAAAAGAATCAATATCCAAGACAAAATAACTACAGAGCAGTTGCTCTAATATATGCATTAAGAGAATGAACAAAATCTTGAACCAAAAATAGACGTGGGACACAAGGTCTCCTTGGCCACGTGTTCTCCATACATCAAAAACATCCATTATTCTGTTCCACAGACTAAGCTTTTCAATCCAATCACACCAGATCAGAAAGCATTATATAGGCATGAAAGATGGAACACGTTGAAGGTGTCTAAGGTTTGATGCAAGCCAACTCGTTTTTTCATCAAGCTGAGTAAAACAACTAACACCGATGCTCCATCTGCAGAAGATATCAATCTAATTAATTAATAAATGGGAAAGATAACTCACCCATCACTTATTAATTGTAATGCCAGATTCACTAAAGCAGTCTGTGATAGGCCTAATTTGGTAAGAACAGAAGTAAGCGGGGCATATGGATGCTGCACATTGAGTTCAAAGTTCAAAGTAGTCAGTATCAATGTCTCAGCCTCAAGCACCCGTTCACGATATTGTTCAAACCAATCCTGTGGAACAAAAACATAGCATGTATCGTATCAGTCAATGTGATTTTGAAGTACAAATATCGTTTGAAGATTATTCAAGAAGCTTAAAGTTACAAACATATATACAAACCAAAAGAAAGAAATATGAACTAATGCGATGTAACTCACCACAGGAAGATAAGGCAAAAAAGCATAATTTTGCTGGTGTAAGATTTCACTCGACGCCTGTAAAACATTGTTCAAGGGACGCGGTGTGTCCTCAGACTTTGAGGCAAGAAAAAGCGTGGCAGTAGCAATCAACTGCACCAGAACAAGATCAACATTGGTATAAACTTGTTCAAATTTAAAGGTTCAACTGAAAAAAGGAGAAACAAAAGAGATAAAGAAAAAGAAAAAAGGGAAAAGTTTTAACGATAAAACAATTCAAAGAAGTACCTAGTAACAAAGTAGATACTTATACTGAGAAAACAATACAATACTCACAAATCTGTCATGGCAAGCATGCGATCTTCGAACGAAAAAACGATGGCACAGAACCATGGCTGTCCCAATGGTAGTTTGAGGCCTGTAACGGAACATGACATAATTTTACACTAACGCTAAGACAATGGATTACGTTCAAAAAGTCATATGACCCCAGCCATGTCCCGAACAGCATTATCAAAGAAACCATAAATCTCCAAGAAAATGATAAAACCTTAACATAAAGAGGTTAAAAAGAAATCATGCAGCAAATCTTACAGCTCTAGCCGCATTCCAAGATCCTGAAGGAAGGCACAATACGAATAACGCAAGTTTGTCTCGTGAAGTGCATCAATACCATCTTGTCTTGATGGTGAGAATCTATCAATCTCATCTCTTGAAAGAAATACTAGGTCTTCGTCTTCGAATCTAGAGCATTCAAGCGTGCAACTAGCTGATGTAGAAGGGACACTGTCATGAACAGTGGTTGGAAGATAGTACCTCCAGCAGTTTTCCCAAGTAGAAGCTGAATGTTTCCTCCTCTTCAGTGATGACTGGGCGGCATTATTTAGCTTCATATACGTAGGATAATCTGCCCTGTAAAAATTAGAATTGCCACTGTGCTCCCGGCATTTTGCCCAGTAGTCATAGTAATTTCCATAATTCCAATTATTGCAGCTATTCCTACTTCTCTTTCTACTGGTATTGCCACAGTTATTTACACCAAAGGTGGACCAATAAGCACCAGGTAAACCATGTCCTTCCCTCGGAAAATTCACCGCTAGAGACATTTTACTGCAAAATGACACATTCCAGAAAGTTAGAATCGAAGGTAATGCACTTATAACTTCACCGCAACCATGCTAATAAAAATTAACAAACCATCAGTTTCTGGATTATAATATTTTTCCTCCATTTGAGAATTTTAAAATGCCAAGAACAGTCAATTTTCAAGGAGTAAAAGGACACCTGAAAGGAATACAAGTTCCTCTAACAACAACCTACGGTCTGATATCGAATTCTTAATTCTCGATTAATGATATATGTATACGTGTGGTAAGTTTAACGAGGAAAAAAGCAACACAGAATTTTAAATGAATTATGGCAAATAACGCCACAGAGAAACAAAATAAAAAGGGGGGAAAAAAACAGATTTTGAAGATGAAGGTCACATATCGAAGATCCCGTCGTTAAAATTTCCTGTGATCAAGCTATCGGAACAACCTCTAAATTGAAACAACGCGTAAAACATTACTACGCTCACCTGATTGATTAGCGATGAAACTGATCTCGTAGAAATAGGCCTATGATTCAACAATCAAGATGGTAATTGAAATGAGAAATTAGGGTTTTGAAAGGAGAAAGAACAATAAATAACTTGCCTTGGAAGGTCAGAGAACGAAAAGGCAGCTATAAACCATAGGCGCTCTATATAGACCGCGGACTCTCCGTATAGAATAAAGATAATTTTTTTCACCTTCATTTGTGGGAGACATGGCATCCATTATCTATTAATAATTGGTAATTGGTAATTAATATAATTTGAAAGAATTTGAGTTCCTCCGCATGAAATTTAAGTATTTAACCACCATTGATAATATTTTTTTTTATGTTGTTTAAATTTTAAATTTTTAAATTTTTCATTGAAATTGTTCTCATTTTTAAGAAGACCCGTGCACGCGCATGAAGTAGCCATGTAATTATATATTTTGTACTCCTTCGGTCCTAATTATAAAACCCAATTGACTTATTTAAGGAGATTAAGGAAGTAAGTTAAGTTGGTTATTTATAATAAATAAGTATTGTCATTCCTAAAATATTCTTGCTAATTAAGTATATTGGCTAAAACTATTATTATTAGAAAGATTATCTTGGAAAAAAATGCATAAATATAAGAGACAAAATGGATTGGGGTCTTATAATTAGGACCAAATAAAAAGTCAAATAGGGTCTTATAATAAGGACCGGAGGAGTATTAATGTTTAGATAAAGGGTATCTTATCTAAGGAATTAAATTTTTTTCTTATCATATATTATATCATGAATCCCAGATATTTTTAATTTATTTTGTGACTTAAAATTTATAATTGAAATCTCCTACTTTTATTTTTCCATTCCAGTTGATACCAAACATATACTACCTTCGGTCCTAATTATAAGAGCTAGTTGACTAATTTGAAGAAATTAAGGAAAAAAGTTAAGTTAGTTGGTTGTAATAAATAAGTGTTGTATTTTCTAAAATATCTTTATTAATTAAATGTATTAGTTAGAACTATTATTATTATTAGAAGGACTATCTTGAAAAAAATACATCAATATGATAGATAAAGTGGATTGTGGTCTTATATTTAGGATCAAAATAAAAGTCAAATAAAGTCTTATTAAGGATTAGAAATAGTATTAACAAACTTGCAATATTATTCACTGATGATATTTTTATTACAAGATTTAATTGAAGAATTGCATCTAAGGATCCAGGCAAACTGATCTGGCTAAGTTTCTTTGCTTTTAATTTTGCGTAATTGAATCCTATTTTTTATATATAAAAAAAAAGAATATTACAGTTGAAAGATCCTTTATTTTTTTAACTTTGGCCCTCTTAAAATAACAAAATATTAAAATATAATAAAAATATAATCAAATTTAAAGTATTTAGATTTAATCTGGATGATATGGATTTGACAACACCCTAATGCTCCTAATCTTAATAAGTTTTTTTTTTGCTACGTATAGATATTTTTTCATTGAATATAATCATATTCAAAATATTATCAGATGCTGACTACAAGCAAAACTTTGAATGTGCGTTGCTCATGCTCTTGACATGTGTAAAGGTGTATGTTGGGTGTTTGTCACGGAGTGGATTTCGTTGGGTCTATTTTTGTTAGACCAAGTTTTTTAAATTTAGTAATATTAATTAATTAATGGAAATATTGAATTTTATTCAAACTAATCAGTCCAATCATTACACTGAGCTTTGAATGTCAACAGCCAATCGTGACAACCGCACCGGCCACAGTTAAATGATGTTACAAGTTCAAACACCGCATTGACACGTTTGGATGTCTGGATAAGTTTAATTGTACTGTACACTCAGTGTGATTTTAGAAATTCTGAGCATTTCTCCAAGTTTTCCCTATTTTAGAGTCTTTTTAATAAGATCTTCAATCAAAGTGTAAATCTAAATCTGTCCCAAAAGTTTTCAATTAGTATTGGACACCTAAAAATTTCTTTAAGTTTAAATTTGCCTTTTTTAATGTTAATGGAAAGTATTATTATAATTTTAAATTTACGAGACAAATTTGTATTTAAAAAAATTTGAGTGTCCAACATTAATAAACATAAATTTTTAGGACAAATTCACAATCCGAAGTGTTTAAACAAATCAAAATAAGGTTAACTTTTAAAAACCAAAAGGGAAAATATAATTTTTTTTATCCCTCAAATTTAGGCTTATTGGGGTTATGGTCCCTGGAATTTAAGACCGGAAGTATTGGTTACTGGAATTTACTCCGTTTTAAAATGTTACTCCCTGAGAGTCGGACGCCGTTACATTTTATTGAGTTGGCGCAATCAGTATCAGCTATGATGATCTGGCTTCTGATTTGACCACATGGCATGAGGAATCGGGCATCTGACTAGGGAAATAAAAAAGAAGGAAAGGGCCTCTATTCAATGGATTCCCACAGACACGCCTCTTCTTGTCTATTGGTCCCTGGAATCCATAGTCTCCTGGTCTAGTGCTTCAGCTCTTGAATTTGCATCCATTATCCTCGCTTCGTCCACAATGGATTTCCACAAACGCGCCTCTTCTTCATTTTCGTTCGCTCTAGTCTCTTCCACCGTCACCGACTCTGTTTCCCCAGTTGTTCCCATGGTGGAAAATTGAGAAGAAGCACCGCTGCCAGGGAGGACCATACGGTGGTAGTGATCTGACCTGTCACAGCACCCATCGCCTCCATCTGTGCCGCTGGCTATTGGCCGGACTTTCTCGCCACCGCCATTGTTACTCCCAATGGAGGTTGTTTTCCCGCTTGATGAGGAGACCGAGAATGTCTTGATTGCCGATGAATCGAACTTTTTATTCCGCTGAATTTCACTGACGGAGGCAATCTCTTATTTGAACAAAGGGAAGCTACTCAGCGTGCATCGTCATTTCCCTCTCTCCTGTGAGTGTTGTGCGAGTGCAACAGTGCGTTTTGATTTTGAACAGAGGCCCTCTTTTTTTTTTAATTTCCTAATCAAGTATCCAGTTCCCCTTACCATGTGGCTAAATCAGAAGCCAAATTATCATAGCTGATACTGTTTGTGCCAACTTAACAAAATGTAACGGCATCTAACTTCTAAGTAGGACTGTGCAAAAACCCAGTGGTTCGGTATGGTTCGGTCCAACCCGAGCAAACCCAGTCCAGTCTGGTCCAGAAAAAATTGGCCCGAAACAAGACTGGACCGGACTGGATCGGACTGGTCTCATCGGGCTAGACTGGACTAGGGACTGGCCCCTCTGACCAATTGGTCCAGTCCAGTCTAGCCCGATTTTTTTAAATTATTATTTATATAATTTTAATTTGATTTAATTTTTCTATATAAATTTTTTATCTATTCAAATAATTAAGATTTATCTATTAACTTTCTAAGTAATAGGCATGTATATATATTTTGTACAATTTAAGATCTATATTGATGAGGATTAATTAATAAAACATGACTTCATTGGGAAATTGAAAAGGAATGATCAAATTTGATAAACTTTGGATTAAAATATATGTAAAATTTTATATAGTAAGTTACAATCTTGCCTTCTATTGAAGAAAAAAAACTTTTTTAAAAAAATAAATTTAAGTCTGGACTGCTTGGACCAGTCCAGGCAGTCCAGATGACCAAGTCTAGTCCAACCCGACCTGGGGTTGGCACTGTACTGGACCAGACCTCGGGCTGTCTTTTTCAGCCGAAGTCTTTACTGGACCAGACTTCGGGTTAATAACAAACCCAGTCCAATCTAGTCCATGTATACCCCTACTTCTAAGGACTAATGTTTTGTAACGGAGTAAATTTCAAGAACCAATAAGTCCGGTCTTAACTTTTAAAAACCAAAACCTAAATGGGTCTAAATTTAAGGAATGAAAAGTTGTATTTTCCCAAACCAAAAATACTTGTTTTAAATCTTGAGACCAAAAGTCTTTGTTTTTTTTTTTTTTGGGTTGGGGTCAAGTATTTTATTAAAAATAATCCTGTTTCGTACTTGGATGGTTGTACCGATGGCGATAGTCTGATGGATGGCGAAGCGGGCCACAAGTAATGCCGTGGATGATCCGGTGAAAGCATATGGCTCCGCATGGGATCTGATCCACTTCACCTGACATGTTACCGAACCCAATGAGACGCAGAAACGACGACAAATAAAACAATCTCCTGTTTTAAAATATAGAAAAATAATTTTACATCTAAACTTATTTATAAAATTTTATTTTTAAAATACAAACAAGATCTTATAATTTAAAATAGAGATAAAACAGACAAGCATAATTAGATTTTTAATTTACTACTTCGGATCCTAAATATAAAAGTTAGTTTATGATGCAATTACATAAGTTATAATCATAATTATACTACAAACTAACTCTTATATTTAAAAGCAGATGTATTATTATTTTAATAATATAATTTATTTGTCCGAATTATATTTGTACCATGCGGTGAGTCCAGGTATATCAAATTGTTTGAACTGTTTACATTTATAATTACATTTAATACAGACTACACAATTTGGGATGAATTAAAAATAAGGACATAGATCTGATTATAAGACTAGTTTAACTAATTTGATTATATTAAAGAAGTTAGGTAAATTAGTTAATTATAAGAAATGTGACATGTTTTTCCTAAAACACCATAATCATCTTTCTTAATACCTTATCTCCCTCCTCTACTTGATTATGATTGAGGGAGTATTCATAGGGGTAGTTTTAGAGAAAGTTGATAAATATAAGAAATGGGTTTTATATTTATGATTAAAATTAACTTAATAATTAGATCTTATATTAAAGATCGGAAGAGTATAAGCAAATGAAGAACAGTCAATTTTGATAATTCGATGCATTGATAAGCACGCATGTCCACCCTTTGGTTTTAAAATTCACATACAAACAAATAATATTCAGTTCTTCAAGCCATCTTTGTGGTGAAGCCGAACTCACACTTGGAGGAACTTCATGGTTCAAACTTCAAAAATTATAAATACAATTTGGGTTAAACTAAAATCCAGTATTTTGAAATATTTTTCTTAGAGGTAATATATTTTTTGATCTTTTAATTTTGTCCTCGTTTTGATTTTAGTCAATCAAATTTCAAATTATAAATTTTGATCTATCAAGTTTCTTTTCGTTTAAAACATTGTTATA